CCAACTTTCACATCACTGCCTTCCGTCACATCAGACGCCAATGGCAACAATTACATACCGGTGCTATCCGCAAGCCCAACGGCACTCTTCACAGACTCGGCGGCAGTCATCTTGACACGAGGGGGTGACTCAATTGAAGGTTATTCCAAGGATAGGCGACTGGGCTGTGAGGTTTGCAGCTATCCGCAGTCGTCGTTCCTTCCGGATATAAGTCATGTGACATCACGTGCTATTTATTCTACAACAGGTTTAGCGCATCCAAATCCACTTTACGCGGTCAACGTACCCGGAGCGCGTCTTATCCAGCCCTGCCATCCGTCGCGTGTTGAGATAGATGTTGCTGGGCTACGACCAACCCGGCTCGCTTTCTACTGAGATTCATGTGATTGACTAAGGCAACAGGCAATCTTGAAATTTGATGCCTTGCGGTAGCCAAGTTTAGACTTTTAAGTCCTTGTGTTCAAGTCGCGACGCCGCTCGGAAACATCCTATTATCGTACGGGACTCGCAGAATAGGATCGGCTTAAAAGAGGCGCATCATGGCGGCCGTGGACTTCTCCAAAGTCTACTCTGCCACTTATAGCAGTGTGAGTACTCCTTCATCGTGCCCTTTCTGGTATTGTAAAAACCTCGTCCTATGAGGCGTGTTGAACAACACCGTAAGGAGGCTTACAACAACAATCTAACACTTGTGGCTAGGTCCCGGTTTATGAGTTCAAACTCGATGGCGACAGTGTCATGCGAAGACGTTCCGATGACTGGATAAATGCTACACATATTCTGAAAGTTGCCGGGTTTGACAAGCCTGCGAGGACTCGCATCCTAGAACGCGAGGTGCAGAAAGGGGTCCATGAAAAGGTGCAAGGTGGCTATGGAAAATATCAAGGTAAGACGAGAATCTCCCAATATCGCCTCGCATTGCCGCGCTATAACTATATGCAGGGACTTGGATTCCGCTTCCTGAGGGCCGTATGCTCGCCGAGCGCAACAACATCATCGACAAGTTAAGGCCGATATTCGACTATGTCGCTGGAGATCGCAGTCCACCACCTGCCCCGAAACATACCACTGCAGCCTCGTCGAAGCCAAGAGCCCCAAAGAATACAAACAAGAGAGTCGCAACCGAAGAAGTTGTCCCTGCTCCAAAACCGCACCGAAGTATGGCACCGCCCGCCTATCCACCCTATGAACCCTATGAAATGAGCCAAGGATTCGACGAGGATGAATCTTTAGAACAAGCAACGCTTGAGTCATCGTCTATGATTGCAGATGAAGAGATTATGGTAATGTCTCAGAATGGTACATATTCACGGAAGCGCAAGCGTGGGATAAACGAGGCTCCGGCAATCTCTATTAGTGAACAGGAGCATATACTCTATGGTGATCAACTGTTGGACTATTTCATGACGGTAGGGGATGCTCCGGAAGCGACACGTATTCCTCCCCCACAACCGCCAGCCAATTTCCAGGTCGACCGCGCAATTGACGATTCTGGAAATACTGCTCTCCATTGGGCATGTGCCATGGGTGACCTAGAAATCGTGAGGGATCTACTACGGAGAGGAGCAAATATCAGAGCTCTATCTGATCAGGAGGAGACACCTCTCGTGCGTGCCGTGCTGTTCACGAACAATTATGAGAAGAGGACGTTTCCACCGCTACTAGAATTTCTCCTGGACACAGTCTCATTCCGAGACTGGTTCGGCGCTACTCTATTCCACCACATAGCAGAAACTACTCGGAGCAAAGGAAAATGGAAGAGCTCGCGATATTACTGCGAAGTATTGCTAGATAAGCTACGCGTTACGTTTTCGGCTGAGGAAGTTGATTTATTGCTGTCCTGTCAAGATCAGAATGGGGACACTGCTGCTCTGATTGCCGCTCGAAATGGCGCGTTTCGCTTGGTTGACTTACTACTCGCGCGGTGTCCGCGAGCTGGTGACCTTATAAACAACAAAGGCGAGGCAGCCTCAACTATCGTCCGACGGGTACCACCTAATGAGCGCGACATCCCTCTTCCCCCTTCGTCTATTACGATGGGTAATGATCAATTAGATCCGGACATCAAGGCACCTGTTACATCAGATCACCTGCCTCCCAGCCTTCCGCAGGACTCCTCCCCTACTACCTCGGCATTAATGTCTAAGATCGCCGTCATTATGTCCGAAGCGAACAAGAAACTTACCGCAAGCTATGGCAGCTCCAAGGCAAACCAGCAAGATTCAGACGATGTTGCGAACCCGGAAGCACTGTATGCGCAACTTGAATCGGATCGACAAAAGATCCAGAAACAGGTCGGTATGCTGGTAGCGAAAGAAGCCGAAGAAGAGTCAATCGACACGCAGCTTGATCGTTACGAGCAATTGAAAAACAGCTACGAATCGCTCTTGGAGCAAATCCACCAGGCTCGACTCAGAGAGAGGATCGCCTCAACGCCAGTGCCCGAGAAGGGGGATACTGGATCTGACCAGGACCAACTACGTCGCACATACCTTATGGCTCGTCAATTGTGCTCTGCCCAAAAGGCTCGGCGCGCTGCCGTGAAGGATCTTGTCCAACAGACAGCCGATGCGGGTGTAAGCACCAAGTTCGATGTCCATCGCAAGTTGGTAGCACTTGCCACCAGCCTCAAAGAGGAAGATTTAGATCCAATGGCCGCAGAGCTGGCTGAAACACTCGAGTTCGATCGAATGAATGGGAAGGCTACAGGAGCCGAATCACCAGATCCAGAGGCCAGGGAATCGGCCACATTCCCCATCCCTGGTCCGACAGTATCTGTGGACGCCTGATTGGTCTGAAGGGGATTGTTCAATTCCAGTCATCAATCGTTCACCTCCCACAGTTCCTCCAATCTGTGGTAACGCTTCTCGTTATGGATTTACTTGTAAATTATTGCCGGTTTGGACATGATTACCATCTACGCAAGAACAGTTAGTCAACAACAGGCCAACTCTACCTCACCCTGTCTACTTTCTTACCTGGGCCTGCGCTGCAATCTTCTCACGATCACTGATGCATGTTGATGTTAATTTCCTACTACTACTACTTCTGGCGGGCAATTTGAGTTTCTGGTTTGCCAGCAGATACCCACTCAACTTTTTTTCCTTTTCCTCTTAATTTCATGGGCTCCACTCATCTTCCTTCACCTGTCTACCTATCTATCTAAAGTCTAAAAAACCCTTTGCATGATCGTCCCGTCCGTTTCTTCTAGGTAAATCTAAAGCAAACACGAACACGAACGTAGTGCTTACCTAGGTGTCTAAAGCCCGCATGAAGATAATCGTGGCTGGGCTCTGAGATGATCATGAAAAGTTTAGATATGTGTGCCATCTCTCCTCTCTCTCTCTCTTTTTCTGGCCAGGCCAAGACCATCCTCGAAACTAAAATGGATAGTGTCTCTGATCTTCTTGGCACCTTCTGATACTCGCATGTGAAGAGCTTATGCCACACACTCCACTTTACGTTTCTTAACGCTAGTTGGTGTTTCTCGAGGTCTGAGTGAGTCAGTCACCTGGAAGCAAGACATATTATGAATGTTCTGGTACACGGCATTGGTGGGATTAGTAGAAAGTAGCAAAATGAGAGCGAATATCGAGCTTCATTAGGGTACTCATGACCGTAAAAGGTCATATAATATCTACTAGCTACGCTTGCAACAAATGCAGGTTAGCCATCTCTACGCGAGTAACACACAACGATAGTAGTAGAATAGAGTTTGGATTACTTGATAATATTCTCATTGAGGAACTGTCACAGTGTGGCAGTGCACTGAACAATCAGTCTCAGCTTCAGCTTGCGAAAAAGAAAGGAAACGAAAAGGGGTAGGTAGGTAGGTAGTAGGTAGGCGAACTGGGTCGCATGTCCCTGGGAGAGGCAGGCGGAAAAAGGCAAAAAAGTAGGGCCCGAACCGCGATTCGAACGCGGGGCCTCCTGCATTTCAAGACCCGAAGCAGGAATCATACCACTAGACCATCCGGGCTAACTTATGAAACATCTTGCTGAGCATGTCTCATACGCAGAGACGAAGCATCAGTACGAAGATGAGTTGCCAGAGAGGCCTATTATATCCGTCGCGGTGGGAGTGAGATCAACACACAAAACAGGAAACTGCAAACGAAGGCCACATGGACTAAGTCATGTGACAGTAAGCAAATAAACAAGATAAAAAATTACGGGCCCGAACCGCGATTCGAACGCGGGACCTCCTGCATTTCAAATCCCGAAGCAGGAATCATACCACTAGACCATCCGGGCTTTTGTTATGTAATCCATATGTGTTGATGGATTCATGGTCGACAGGAAGGCTTTGGGATAGGTGCTCTATGCATGTCCGGGCGTGAGATTGATTATCCATTAGGTTTTAATGCTTGCGAGATCTCGGCTTACGGGAAATAGTGATAGGCGCTCTATACCCGTACTATTTCACTTTTATTAGTAGGTTAACAGGTGCGCATTGCATTTCATCCCGCCCTGCAGCGTTGTTCTAGCCAGTACGACTCATTTCGACTTCAAAGCATTGTGGCAAGCCGATCTCTTGGCTTCCTTTATGTCCCATGGCTACTCAGGACCTGGGTTGTTCTTTTGGTGTTTTCGTATACATGCGAGGCAGGTACAGCGAGTCACTGGGGCTTTGAGTTAAGGTGAAGCAATGGGTATTGGTATAATAAGGTTGGGTGTTTTGCCACGCGGCTATTTATGGGTGACGAAAAGGAGACGGGATGTGGAAGAGGACTGGGTGGTCATTATAGTTTGATGGACCAGAATTCCGTTGCTGTGAGCATCTATTGATGCGTTGCTTTTGTATAGTGGCTGTTAGTCACGGCGTTGGGCCACTTTGATGCGCATTTGTTGCGGGAGTGATATATAGTATTAACACTATGATGCCGCAAGCCGATCAGAAAAGACACGGACGCTTTTACTCGATTCCTTGACGTCAGGTTGACTACGATACCGTAACAACAAATGCTATTAGGCATGATAAGCAAAGGCAAATATCCACAATGGAGGAAAGGATCATACCATGGGGCAGGGATTCACACAGACCAGGATGGGAGGCAGCTACAGGTCAGCTTCCGCCACTGCGAGGATGAATAAAACACACCCCGTGTGTAGAGTAGTACATGAAGGCCATTTTTCAGCAGACAGGTTAGTAGAGGATAGGCACTGGACATTTTCAGGATGTATCGACAGTCAATCATAAATTGGCCGAGAAATGTAAACGGTCACCCTGTTACTATCCTCATACAGCCATCCAACTTGCATGAGATCTGCCTACCTGAGCGCAGTCACTGGGTTAGAACCTGCGTCGAAGCATCGGTGTGATGCGACGCTTATGCCAGGCCCCCCACTCATATTTCCATATGAACAAATGGACACTGATTCCATATAGCCCAAATAATGGCGCAGTGGCCGACCACCTGTTTGGGCATGACAATGCGAACATCGCATGATAAACGCATCTAGCTGTCCGACCATATATTTCATGTCACCGTCGAGATCGTGTGATTACAGAGTTGTTATGTCTATTAGTGTAATCGGGAACAAATCGACTAGACTGTGCATTGATACTGGATCAGTAGGTTACTTGGGCCTGTCAGCTTTGTATGTGCTTGGTACCTCCCACAAATACACAGCCTTTCGTGTATTTTGTCAGAGTGCGTGCTCGTTAACGGTCTGGGCTGAGGAGGTGATCTACCCCCGATTGCCTCCATGTTGCCTAGCTCTCCTGTAGCTTTGAGTTTACTGTGCTCGGAATCCCGCCGCGACATGAAACTGAAACCGTCCAACACATTGTTTATCCCGAAGGAGTAGCTCTGCGCGCCATATCGCAATACCAAGACGTGTTCCAAAAAATTCAGCGAGGAACAATGCCTGCCAAGTTGATGGACTAGACCGTCAGCAGGCGTCAAAAAAGTTACAGCTAAGCGAATGGTCGGGTCAGTCCCATCCAGTTTCCTCGATTTTGGCAGATCCACGGAACATGACCCAGGAGAACCACTCCACAGACAGACCAGTTCTCATCGACCATCATCTGGGTTCCCAAGGGCACACAGACCTCTAGCAACGTCACCAATGATCTGCGTGTAAAATGAGCTGACTGGTGATCGGATGTGCAGGGCCATCTCTGCTGCCTTCATTTTCTCGTTTGACGCTGCCAGTAGCTCACGGGCTGCGGGACCACCCGTTCCACACACACATGGAGACGAGATTTTCAAGGGGTCATCTACTTGCAGGAGCACTCGGGAGCCCACGGGCGTTGAGCATTCGTTTCCTGTTGACCGAGTGAAAAGGCCGAGCAAACTGAGACATTGCATGGTTCGACAGGCCAGCAACAACACGCCCAATCATGTTTCCACTCTCAAACCGGGTAGCTTGATTGAGCTTACCACGGAATCCTCATGACAAGGGGGGGGGGGGGGGGAAGGAAGGGAAGATACTGAAATGGCATCCCCAGTCTACATACTTAAGTATGGTCTCGAATGAAAAGGCACGAGGAGGCCGCTAGAACCGGTAAAGTGGCAGGCGAGAAGGTTCCATTCAGGTGCTTGGCAACCGAGATAGTCGGGAGTTAGTGGCTCCTGGGCGAATCCTTTTGGACCGGGTCACTCTAGCGATTTCCTTCGCTACTAATTATCAGATGCCAATGCCCACTGGTCAGGGGGGAAGGCGGAGAATTCTGGCTACGGGATTCGCCCAGTACTAGACTAGCAGCCCCCCTCCGCATGCTGCATCGTGGCTCTTCCACTCTACTGCAATCATCGTGAGTGGATCGGGTGGGGATCTGGAAGACGAAGGAAGGCCACTCGATGTAGGAAGCGCTCGGAAGGTTTCGAGGTACCATTACAGTTGCTCTTCGCAATTGGATGGACATCGATGCGGGATTTTCTTGTGCAGAAAAAAAGGTTATCCTGCCGCCAGACCAGTTAGGCTAGTAAGAGAGGTACCGAAGGAAATCAGATCATTAGACAGGAAGTGCAGTAGGCACCGCAGCACGAAGGACTAGAGAGTAAAATATGATCCACCACTAGGGTCGATCAGCAGCGCCCGTCGGCTTTTTTTGCGCTCAGCCGGAAATGAAACAGAGGAGGGGAATATCCTTTACACCGGGGTATGATGAGTTGTTTGAGAAGGAGAAGTAGAAGTAGAATTGTTTAGAGGGAACTTACTTCTCTCGTGGTGTAGATACACCGAACAGGAGGAAGTGGTGGATGATCTGCAAAAAACGAGGGAGTGGGATGGCTAGGCCACGACTATCTTCGATCAGCCGCGAAAGTGTTCAGTAATCCGTTCAGTTCAAGTTCAGTTCACCATTTCCTTTCCTCCCCCCCTTCTTTTTTTTTTTCCCATTCCCAGCTTTTCCCCCAAATTTCCAAATGCCCGACCGTCTGGAGCCCCACTGGCTCCAGCATCTCGCCGCCTGCTCTTTTGGTTCTCCCTCAATTTGCCCCCCCATACTTAATAATCCGATCATCATCTACTAACGTAACTAGTGGTCACCACTGCTTCTCCGTTAACTACTAGTTAACTACCTTCTTACTACGGCTACTAATTGCCAGTGCTTCGGCTTCCTTTTCAAGTCCTCACTCACCCTTGTGACTTCCATTGGATTGTCCCGTCGCCCATTATTTCCCTACAGTGATTTCCTGATTTCAGGGACTTCCTTTTGACGCACTATTGGTCTCTCCTAAATGGTTTAACTGTCGACGTCCGCCGTCTGACCTCGAATTTCTCTGGTCGGACACATCCGCCCCTCATTCACCTTCATGTCGCTACCCCACACCATCTACTCGTATCTAGCATTATCTCCTACACATGGAAGTTCATACGTTGGTTTGTGCGCCGGGGAAGCCTCTTCCCCCCGCACAACCCCAGCTTTCCGCAGCCGCAGCGCCTGAGAAAAGAAAGCGGGTCCGTCGATGGCATCACCGAGGATTTACAGGCTGTTCGACATGTCGTCGACGCCACGTCCGCTGCGATGAAGCATCGCCGTCTTGCAAAAACTGTACACGCCTGGGTCTTGAATGCGATGGCACTCAGGGTCGTATGACCTTCAAAGTCTACGGACCGCCGCAAGCGGATTCGTCTCCCGCCACCGCCAAGAAATGCGACAAAAAGATCAAGAGCGAAGGGGACAAGCAAGTGAAGCAGGAGCCGGCAGGAGACGAGAATGAGCCCTTCGAAACATTAGTTGTGTCTCCAACAACTGTGTCCGACCTGAAGCCTATAAAATATCGCTTCCAAGACCCCATCTCTCCCGCCGAGTTTTTATCCTCGTCACTGGACTGCGTCGAAGGCCGGTATTACACTCATTTCGTCGACCAGGTCTCTACTCTACTCCTCATCTATGATAATTCGAACAACATAAATCCCTACCGAAGATTCTTCCCTGAGCTCGCTCGATCCTCAACGTCAATGGCTAGCGCTATGCAAGCCATGGGTGCGTTGCACCTTGCCAATACATCTAAAGGGCAACAGCGAAACAAGCACTTCCAACAAGCCATGAGCAATTATGGCGAGGTTGTCAAGTCCTTTAGAACCCGATATACGGACCCCGACCACAGCGTGCGACTTACGGATTTCGCCACCTGTCTTTTACTGTCACTGTTCGAGGTGAGCCCCTTGTTGTTGACCTGGGCATAACGAGCACACAAAGCTAATAAATCAGATGATGGATTCTCAACATCACAACTGGGCTATCCATCTTAAAGGAGCCCGAGAAATTTACCGAATACTTTTCACCCCTAATGACGACCCGGACAAAGAAGCCAAGCGCCTCGCTGAAATCAATCACCCACTTCGACCCTTCCTCGTATCGCTGCTCTCATACTTAGACGTTGCAGGTGCCTGTGCCACCAGTGAGGGAACCGTGGTGGAAGGCAGCTATTGGACAACACACGGAGGTGGCTGGGAGTACAATCTGGGTACACCAAGCCTGTCGACCGAACAACCTGCTTATAGTCACCATCTTGTTGAATTGCGCCAATGTTGGTCCGCTATGATGGAGATTCAAGCAGCCATCAGTGCCTTTGGAAAAGCGAAACAAGATGGTCTGATGCCGTTCGAACAACAAGACTTGGTTTATCACGAGCTATTACAGCGGCTGGTACAATGGCGTCTGAACGCACCACAGGCACTGCAGATGTTAGGCGAACTAGACGATGAGAGCTTGCGACAATATCCATACCCCGATGTCCTTGAGTATGCCGGGTGTATCGAAGCATATGAAAAGGCCACCAACATATTCCTACATCGGGTTGGAGCAGCAGGCCGTCCTGATATACAGCCCCAAAGGGCGCTGTTAGACATGCTTGCTACGCGAATCTTGGCGTTGATTGGAAAGCTCGCAAAGGATGTGGGTCAGTTGGCGGTACTATGGCCACTCTTTACAGCTGGCCGAGAGTCACGGAACGAGAGCGAGCAGAAATTTGTGCGGCAGACCATGACTGATCTCCAGCGGTTCGGGTTTAAGGTATGTCAAGGATGCACGTCATTGAGGTCAAATAAATGCTAATACGACTGCAGAATGTTGATAAGGCCCTCGAGGAACTGGAACAAGCGTGGTTCAAGCAGCGAGCTTTCCCAGAAGGTTGGATTGACACTATGGACGATATACGCTCCTCAATCCTCCTCCCTTGAACAAAACCGCTTCGTGGCTCGCTGATGATATTCTCTGCGATTAACGACCGCCCTGAGCCATCTTGCCATGGTATTTGACGATTTATAATGGACATAAGTTATATGGAACGGGGAAAACACGGAGTCTGCGTATTGGTGTAATACTGGCGTTATATTGGGGAACTAAGGGTGTTCGGCTGGGCTGGACCCTTAGACTTGGATTTGCGGAGCGTGAGGAAATATTCTTCGCAAATGGTTTGAATATATGTGCTGTTTGGGTGACGGATTTGTGCTGTTTTTATTCTACTGGAGTGGGATCACTGTTGTACAGATACAGGCAAGGCTTACTGAAAGTCATATATAGAGTTACCCCTTGGCACCCGTGAGAGCTAGCTGCTTCTTACACTCTCTGAAATAGAACAAAATCTAGTATCTGATATCACCAGGAGTTTATCTGTATGCATCCATCTGTAACTAAAGCAAATCACATTAAATCTCTGGGTATACCTAAACACTTCTAGGCTCTATCATATCTACAAAGCAAACTTTTCCCACTCAAACATAACAGATGGGTTGGGGGGAGGGTGCAATGCAAGCAGTCCAGTCTTTCCTGCCTTCTTTCCCCCACCAAGATCGATCAGTCAACGACCATCTCAACCATTCAACGCAAAACTAGCATCACCACAACCACCACTCGTAAAATACAACATATAAATTACTGTGGCGTGCGCCACGCGATATTGCACTCAGTTCTCCTCCCTCCCGGAGGAAGACGTCGTCGCCTCAGGCTGTTGTTGATGATGATGATGATGATTATCACCACTACCAACTTCCTCGACAGTTTCGGTCGCAGCACCCTTGCTATCGATGAAATGCGAGATGCGGTCGATAGGCAACCAGGCGCTTTCGGGGGTGATGAAGTAGGAGATTAGAGCGAAGATGGTCACACCGGCCATGATGATTGGGGCGTCTGGTTAGAAAGAGAGAGAGAGGGAGTAAGTAAGAAGATGTTTTAGGATGAAGTATGTTGGAAGGGGATGGGTTCTTACAGTTGAGATTAGCGCCGGTGACGGGGAACTCGTAAGGAGAGAATAGCACAGCTACCACCCAGCCGTTCCAGAAGACACCGATGAACTGGAACGGCTTGCTCCAGCGACCGAGACTCCACTCGGGCTTGGGGAAGCGTTTCGGGGTGCAGAGGAGTCGGCCGAGGCAGATGAGGCCGTATGCGGCGGCGCTAGGGACACCGGCGGCGGAGACGAGAGATGTGAAGGCCACGTCGGAGGGTAGGAGCGTGCAGCTGATGAGTGCTGAGACTCCCCAGACTACGATGACGGCGTTGCGGGGCTGGCCGTTGTGGACTTTGGAGACCCAGCTGGAGAAGGGGAGGACACCGTCGCGGGCGACGGCGAAGACGAGGCGGGAGGCGGCGACGATGGCGATCGCTGTGTTCTGTAAAGTGGTTTAGTATATGAATATGTGGTTGGGGGAGCTGTTGGGGGTGTGGACTTACGAGCCACAATGCAACTATGCAGATGACGTTCATGAAGATGTGGCCTCCTTTGCCGAGGACGACGGCGTAGAGGGGCACGAATGGTTGAGGAGAGCCGAAGGACATGAGAGTGTCGTTGTCGGGCTGATCATGTCAGTATGGGGCTGTTGGATAATCGTTGCATGGAAGTGGGGGACTAACTGCACAGAAGAGGAACAGAATGATAGTTGCTAGTCCACCAATGCCACTGACGACAGTACTCCAGAAGATACCACGTGCTGCTGTCACCGAAGCATGCTTGGTCTCTTCTGCAACGTGACCAGAGGCGTCGAAACCAATCAGGATACCGGCAGTGGCGAGGTAGGAAAGACACCAGTTCCAGCCTGCAGGGGCACCTGTGGCGTTGTAGGTGGACATGAATGCCTCTTCAGCCGTGCGGAAACCCCATGTGTTGGCGGCACCAATCGGCAGCCAGATGACATTGAGGAAGAAGTCCAGCATGACGATGAAGGACGAGAAGTAGAACACCCATTTGAAGAACCTAGCTGTAGAATTGTAAGCAAATCTGAACAGAGAAAGGATAGGCGCAACCAGTCTTGGGATCGAACATACGCGGCAGGTAGTTGAGAAGTGCGGCCAATGCTAGCAACACTTCCGTGCAGATCCACTGGACAGCACGGAACTTGACACTGGATGTGTCTTTCGGGAAGTCGACGTCGAAGACCGTCAATTCCTGTGGCGCTGATAAGTAAACTATCTTGAAATATCCGTGAGAGTGACACTCACCGAGAGCATGTAGTTGACAGCAGATTGGGTGTTGCTAGCACAGAAGGTCGTCCAGGCAGTAGTACTCCACCAAGCAACCACAAATCCAAGTAGCCTTCCAAAGCGAGGGCCTCCAGACTCTGCGGCCCACAAGTAGATAGAGCCCGCGGAGGGCGAGGCAGAGCATACCTCCGCGATGACAGCAGCGGTGATGTATGTGAATACCAAAGTGACTAGATAACTCGTCCTACACCAAATGAGACACGATTCATTGCATGGGCGGTGGTAGAGCCTACCAGTAAGCCAGGTTACCACCTGCTGCGATACCTGTACTATAAGTGACGCGCACTCCTCCAACAAAGTAGAGAGCAGCTAATCATGTGAGGTTAGTGACCTCCATGGGCCTAGAATCCGCCGTGATCATTTCACCTACCGAATGTCGTCGAGAAGTTTTCAAGTAATGTGTATGTCCTATGAAGGACCTTTAAAATTGATTAGACAAACCTGCGTGCAATAGGCTTGCTAAGGCTGACTCACTGGCTTATAGCCCATAGATTTCTGTTGGTGGTATATCAGCGATTACTTGTTCGATATCGATACTCGATCGCTGAAAGGAATGCCACTGATAAACATACCAGTAGCTTTGCATCTTCTCGGGACTCTGCCTCGCTCCTGACCTCTTCTCCTCCAACCGGAACAGTGTCAGGGTCGACGACGAGCTGCGAGTGTTGCTGGTGAGGTGACGGGGCCATGGCTGCCGTTCTGGAAACCAAGGCCAATGCTCAGAGGCTCAAAGGTCCACGTCCAGGAGCGTGCTGATAGAATAATTGTAAGTGAGAAAGTTAAGTGAAGATGTTTCTGTCGCAAGTCAGCTGAAAATTGATGATAGACGATCAGGAACCTGCTAACCCCACTCTGTAAGGCGTAAGACAGCAAGAAAAAAAAAAGGAACCAAATTAGCCTAGTGGATAAGCTAAAGCATTCGTGCACCCGGTTTGGACGAGTCAAGATGTCACCAACACTCCCCAGTCTAGCAAGGATATACACTTATCCAGTTCCCTTGTCTTCAATTCAATCTAGTTGATGGGATAGATAGTTGAGGGTTGACCGGAGATGTCTGCTCCGCAAGAGCCAACGGTGAGGGAAAGAAGAATTGTTGAAGCTCACTTTTGCGCTCCACTAGCGAGCCGGAAGAGCGCGCAAATTCCAATCAGGGCCTGTGGGTGGAAGGATGCGACCGCCGTGGGTCAAGAGAGTGTACCTTAACGAGCCAAGCAAGAAATTAGCTCTGGTAGCATCACCGCAGCGGAGCCGTTCCACGTTTGCGTGAGCCCGTTCGGCCGTGGACGGATCCTTTACGCGCTCCATCGCCTGCTGGGGACAATGCGTGCATGCATGTATGAAATTGTTTATCAAATTGGCACTCAATCTTTCTTGATGGATATAAAGATTCGCGAAGTAGACGGTGTGCCCTTTCGGCGCACACAAGACAGCGATTGCTTCAAACCGGTTGAGGGAGGGTGTCAATCGCATCATCATGATTTATCTCCATGCCCCACCATGAGTGGAGCGGGATAAAAAGCCGTGCGAGGGGCCGGCCATTACCAGGACCTGGATCTTGACATCGATTCGAGGCCAATTCAACCAACCGTCACTCCAATAATGACTGCTAGACAATATCCAGCTATTTTGCGACGGGTATAAAATCGAACAGCAATCAACGCGGGCTTCCCTGGCAGGAGGGGATTTCAAGTATTGCCTCAGGCAGCACCATCTGGAAGAACATGCACGTGACCTCATGGATCAACTTCTTATCAACTACACTTACCATCTAGATCTTATCCTAGCAGTATAAATGCCGGGGATGTTTTTCAGCTAGGACCAGTGTGTTTCCATTTTGCACTACCCGCAAGGATCATATGTTACGCTGCATAGCACGGACATCCCATCCTCCACCCTGACAGCCCGAGCTCGCTGGGATCAACATCCACGTGGACAGTCGATCATCCGATTTGCGGAGAGGTGGTTCCTCTGGCATTCGTGATTAGATGCCATCAATGGGTTGTTGTGCTAAAATATGATTCTGGCAGCATTTAGAATTGAGGTGACTAGTCAAACGGAGAAAGATGCCTATAAACAACGGTTAAGTGTTCGGGAACTCTTTGATGATCAAAGCCGCAGTCTGCAAACGCAAATGGTGATGGAGGTGTCTACACGAACAAAGAAGCTGGCAAATATCCAATGACCAACTACCCTGTCTGGCGATTCCATGAGCTCACACGCCTGAACGAGCCGAGTTCACTGCCACCCTTTTAATGAGCTGTCAGATATCCCCGCCGGACAAGGTTATAGCTGGACAATTGTTGTGATTCACAATCTCCGAAGGATGGCTCGTGCCCGTCGCACGAGATAGTGATATGTATTCCAGAAGGGTGCTCTGCATGATATGTACAATTATCTCCGATGCGGCGCCTAGACGGCGTTACATCCGGTTGCGGTTGGGCCAGGATATAGAAGTAGGAGGACACAGCTTGTCCGACCCGGTTAAATAGTAGTAGCTCAATTGTACCGGGATGAGTTCAAGTTTTCAATGTAGATCCCCATCAGTCGGCAATTTGTTGCAGCACGGGTAACCAGGTCAAGATGATACGAAGACCTTCTTGGGATGGGATTGTATACACGGATATGCGACAGCGGCACGATATGACCCTATTAATGCAGTCAATACCAGCATAAACCAGGAGAAAAAGTGCATGGTGGACGATGCCTGATGCCAAGCGGGAGTGACAGCTCAGGCTCCGCGAAGCCGATGGCCAGTCAATGGGCCTTCCCCGCGCGGCTTCCCCTCATTTCCTGCAAGTCTTTGGTCACATCACCCACGGCTACTACTATCGTTCTTCAATCCTATGGAGGTGAATTCCGGTCACCGGAGTCATCCTTTCTTTATGCCAAGTTTAGACTCGTGGATAATTGGCATGTTGTGTTCCCGCCATCCCTTGCGCGACGGTGACCTCCCCGCATTTGGAACGATCAATCTCTCTCCTGATTGAATCATGAATCAGGAGTTCTCCCCATATAGCTGTACGTGCCTGCACTCTTCAGCTGATACTTGAATTCACTAACGTCTCTGATTGAATGGGTTTACAGTTCGAAACAATAACCCGCCGTCCTGCCGTCCTTCCTA